AAATCTCAGCCATAATGTTCAGGAAAAACACTTTCAGATAACAGAGCCAAAAGGGAATTTATGAATGTTGGCTTGGTGATGCTGGGACCAAATTCTGCTCTCCTTTACACCAGTTTAGAATTTGGCCCATCGCATCCAGTGGTCTATGCTGCCACGCAACTTTTGTACCTTCAGCCCTTCTCTCCATCAGCCAGAAGGGAGCCTTGCAGAGCAAACCTACTTAGCATCTGGGCTGAGAGAGGAGTATTTGTGTTGTTCAACAGTGACCCCTCTGGTCAGTTTAAGGAATGGCATGGCTATGCTCCAAAAAAATCCCCTCTGGTACATCTTGTTCCACAGAAGGGGCACATGGACCTAAGTCATTTATTTCCATCAATATTATTTGGAATTCTGATTCAAGCAAATCTTAGGTGAGGTAAAGAAGTGGCAGAAGGGGACAGATGAGCCCATAACCCCAGAGTTAGGGGAAGAAGACAGTATTCTCCCAGCTCTGCTGGCCTAATCACTATTGTTCCTATAAGCTAATAAGAGAAAATACAGTGGAAAACTACTATATGAACAAAAACACTCCTAAGAACAAAATCTCCTCAGTCACTATAGAAATATCAACTACATGCTGCCATACACAGGTATCTCAGCTTGTGCAGTCCTGCTTTCAAGGAATAATATTTTCAGAAAATCCTGATAACAGCATATGGGAGCTGATGGTTAAAGGGTAATGATCTTGGTTTCTCTTATCTATGAATTTTTGAATAACCCCAGCTCCCTGGGGCCCTGCATTTAGATGGATGCCAAATTTGACTTTTCCTCCTTCTTTTGCTCAGGTTCCTTCTGATGATGGGCGTTCTGTTCTGCTGCGGAGCTGGTTTCTTCATCAGAAGACGGATGTACCCTCCACCGCTCGTAGAAGAACCTACTTTTAATGTATCCTACACCAGACAACCAGCCAACACTGCAGCAGGTCAGAGACTACTTATATGCTAGCCTAATTTCTTCTGTGTGCACAGGAAATATTTAAAAATCGTGTGATTTTAGCTAGGAGTAGTTTAATTCACCACAGGTGACGTGGGTTCAAATTCTGCTTCGAGTATGTTGCACCATTTGTGAATGTACACCCAGTACTACTGAGATCCAGTAGGCTATAAGAATGGGTCAGACCAATGGTCCATCTAGCCCAGTATCTTGTCTTCCGACAGTGGCCAGGTGTTTCAGAGGAATGAACAGAAAGGCAATCACAGTGCTCACAATTCTCTTTCAAAAGAATTTTTGCATTTCTTTTACTAATCCCTTCTAGAGAGTTCTTCCTCCACTGGTTTTATAACTTATCTCCATGAATGCAAACAAGATAGGAAAACAGTTAATCACATTGCAACATACGCAGAGCAATAGGCAATGCCACATTAGCAATGATGTTCCTCTTTTATATGAATAATAAGGAACAGTTTCCCAGAGTTGGTAAAATATACTAGAAAATACCTTTGCCAGAATGAGACAACCAAACATTTTCCTTCTGCGATACTACCTAATTGTTGCGTTTCCATTTTTGCTGTGCCCTCCGTGTTATGGAATACTGCTTTAGAAGTGGGAAAACGCTACTTCTTCCTTATCAGTCTGAGCATTCTTCAACTGTCAAACAATGATTTTGAGGAAGTCTGAAGGATCCGTACAGTAGTGGATCAGCTGGTCCCTCCATTCTCCCCAGCCTACCCCTACCCTGTCCCACCAAGAGAGCCCTTCAGAGGGCATGTGTGCTCTGAGGGACTTCTTGAATCCTGTCCCCTCCAGTTATGAGACCCTCTCTAGCTGCAGATGATGGGTCTGCATCTGTACCTAAATGCACACCCACACATAGCTGTCACACACTGGCAGCCACAATGGAGACACTTCTATATACACACCCTGCTCACTGCACACACCACTCCATATCCATGAGCATCAACATACCCGGTGAAGAGATTTCGACTCCTCTCCCCCTCCCTAAGGGTACATCTACACTGCAGGTACGGGTGTGAATGGCTGCTCATGAAGACATACCCATGCTAGCTGTACTCTAGCTAGCTCAAAATAGCAGTGAGGATGTGGTGGTGTGGGCTTTGCATCACTTGCACAAGCGAGTCTGTACCCAGGAAGGTCAGACAGACTTGTGCACCCCATGCTGAAGCCCAGACCGGTACATCCTCACTGCTATTTTTAGCAAGCTAGCTAGAGTACAGCTAGCACAGGTACGTGAATGCGAGCTGCAAATCACACCCCCAGCTGCAGTGTAGACAAACCCTAAGACATCCCTATGCTCCCAACTTGGAGTACATTGCCTCACAGCTAGAGCTGACTGCAGGATGATTATTCCATTTCTTGACAGCTTTCCAGGTTTCGAAATTTGTTTTCGTTCTGCATTGGAATGAAACCAAAACGTTTCCAACATTTTCACAAAACAGATATTGTGTCAAAACATCTGTCTTCGGATTGGAAAGGTCAGGGTTTCATTTCTCTGAAAGTGACTGGAGAGTCCACCCTGAACCTCAGAAACTTTCCTGATGAAAACTTGGTCAGAATTTATACGTCTTTGTAAAACATTTCAGCTTCAACGAAGCAGCATATTTCAATGGAAAAAGGTTAGTCGAAAATGTTCCAACCAGGCACGTAATCACAAACAGCAGGTCACACAGAGAGCTTAAGTTCAGACTTTCCAATCTCTCCCATATCCTATTGCACACAGATACACTGCATAAGTTCTGGAAATACCCCTGCTCAGTGTTATCCGGATCCTTATGCATATGCATACATATTCTCTTTCAGTCAGAGATCTAACTGCATCATATAAAAGGATACCCTCACTCTCAGACTCCCAGACACTCCCTTTTATTTTTATTTTTCTCTTTAAGGTATTTCTTTCTTTCATTTGTTACACGTATTAAATGCATAGGACATTTCATTCAATGTGAAAATCACACACACTTATTTTTTGTTTACCAATCACACATTTCCCTAGTGAGATAGTTTAGGTAGTTCTTGCCTGAGATGGTAGGAAAAAATAAAAATAAAAATTATTATAAGTCTTGGAAATAACTCAGCGGTTATATATAAATAGGGAGCATCACATGGCTGGATTGGCAAATATATTAAATGGTTCTTAATGAGCCACACATGGCAGAAGTCATGTGGAAATAGAAAATAGCTATCTAGTTAAGTCTTTTAATGTCCTAGTTATGCCACATAATTTTAATTTTTTTTTAAAAGTCTTAAGGTCTGATCTAAAGCCCATTGAAGTCAATGGGAGTCTTTCCCGTTGGCTTTGTTGAACTTTAGATTAGGCACTTAATTTGTAAGTGCTTCCTCAGTCTCCCTCATATGAGTCTCAGTCCCAGCGACTCTGAATTCTTCTGCATTTCTGACCATGTCTGTCCTTCAAAATAAAGCACACTTAGGGCCTGCGAGGTGCTAAGCACCTATGACTCACATTGAGGGGGGGAAGGATAGCTCAGTGGTTTGAGCATTGGCCTGCTAAACCCAAGGTTGTGAATTCAATCCTTAAGGGGGCCATTTAGGGATCTAGGGCAAAAATCTGTCTGGGGATTGGTCCTGCTTTGAGCAGGGGTTTAGACTAGATGACCTCCTGAGGTCCCTTCCAACCCTGATATTATATAATTCAGTGGATTTGTGGCTGCCCAGCACCCCATTTTTGAAGGTCTAATGGGCTTGAATAGTTCTGATATACTAAGCAATAAAAGTAAACACCTGGGATTTGATCCTGCAAGAAGGTCAGGATCCAGCCCTTATTTTGCTGTTGGGTTTATTGAAAGTATCACTGATCTGAATACCAGTGTGGAAATAAACTGATTACTATGATGTAGTTGTGCAAGGCATTTTAACAATAATAATTGCAAAATGCAAGGAGTTCCCCCACTCATTGCCCAAGTTCCCTTTGTGGAAGGAAAAGTGAGGAAAAATGCTGAAATGTGCAAGCACCATCTTTGTGGCAAAACGCTTAAGAAAAATAACACTGCTGTAATCGTAGACACAGGCCCAAACACCCCCCTGCACTTTAGGGAAGCTTGGGTTTGGATCCAGTTCCCAATCCAATCTCCATGGCTCGACTCCATTTCTATAATGGGACCAGTGGTTACATTGGATGGAAACAGAGGCAGGAGCTCTCTCATTGCCCAGCAAAGGAAGAGGGGAAGCTGTCTGTGAAGTGCTACTTACCCAAGGCAGGGTGGAGAAGAAGCGCTCCTATCTGTTTGCAGGAAGGAGGAGTTGTGCTCCTGACTTGCTTCTCCTAACCTTAACCCCTGAATGGGCCAAACCAAACACAAGATCCAGACACCCCAAGCTCCATGGATGTTTGGATTGGCACCTTATGGCTTAGGCCCATCTCTCTTTGATACTAAGGGAATAAAAACTCAGTCTGAAAAAGCATTAAGTAGTGTGTAACGCTTCAAGGTGTCTCTGGGTTCCATCCTGTTGTCATACTGAATCCCCAGCCTACTGAGGCATGGAAATGGATGATCAAATGTAAAATCCATGGGGGCTGCTTTCCTTACAGACAAAGCAGGAAGCAAGGCACCAAGGAGAAATTGCTGCTCCTTAACCACTTTGTTCTGTTAACGCAGCTTTGCCATGAAAAAAGGGAGAGAGGAGGAAAGAACTTGATGTATTCCCACAGACAAACCTTGCAAAGCTCCTAGAGGGCATAACTTTTTAATTGCTGAAACCATATTCAATAGATTTTTATTGATCAGAAATTTTGGAGTCCTCATGGATAGTTCCCTGAAAACATCTGCTCAATGTGCAGCGGCAGTCAAAAAAGGTAATGGAATGCTTGGAACCATTAGGAAAGGGATAGATAATAAAACAAAAAATATCATAATGCCACTGTATAAATCCATGGTAGGCCCACACCATGAATACTGCATGCAGTTTTGGTCGCCCCAGCTCAAAAACAAAAATATTAGAATTGGAAAAGGTGCAGAGAATGGCAACAAAAATGACTAGGGGTATGGAACAGCTTCCATATGAGGAGCGATTAAAAAGACTGGGATTGTTCAGCTTAGAAAAGAGACAATTAAAGGGGTTTATGATAGAGGTCTATAAAATCATGACTGGTGTGGAGGAAGTGAATAGGGAAGTGTTGTTTACTCCTTTTTATAACACAAGAACCAGGGGCCACCCAATGAAATTAATAGGCAGCTAGTTTAAAACAAATATAAGGAAGTACTTCTTCACACAAAGGACAGTCAACCTGTGGAACTCATTGCAGGGAATTTTGTGAAGGCTGAAAGTATAACTTGGTTAAAAAAAGAATTAGATAAGTTTGTGGAGGATAGGACCATCAATGGCAATTAGCCAACGGTCAGGGATGTAATTGCATGCTCCACGTGTCCCTAAAACTCCAACTGTCAGAAGCTGGGACTGGACGACAGGGGATGGATCATTTGAAATTGTTTTGTTCCTTCTCTCTGAAACGTCTGGCATTGGTCACTATCAGAGACATGATACTGGGCTAGATGGACCATTGGTCTGACCCAGTATAGCCATTCTTATTCTCTTATGATTGTTCTGATATCTAGAGTTTGAAGTCTATCTCCCATCCTTCTTAATGGGAGTATAATGTCTCTGATTCTCTGGGTACCGCATAGTTTTTCATTTGATCATATATTTCCTGTTGTTCTGGGCCCAGATTTCATTATTGGCATGTGATGAATACAGTACCTTGAGAATTTGACATTTCTTAATCTTACTCTGTGCTAAGAAATCCTGTCCCATAATATTAACTAGACTTGTATTGACTTCAGCTGGAGCTGGATTGGGTCTCACACTTGTCTGTCTTAAAGTGGGGTTGTGAGCTTGAGATGCAATCCAAGAGGCAATACCATTCAGTACATTGTAAAATCCGAGGTGCATTTTACTGTATCTTGGAAGGTTTTAGACAAAGATCTTGATTAAAAATAAAGTAATAAGAAC